CATATATATATATATATATATATATAAATATGATAATGGATATATATATATATATATATATATAAAAATAAATTATTCTTACAATGATTCATTTAGTGTCTATTCAAAGTTACAATAGTACTGGAAAAAGTGACTTACAGCCAGACCTCATTCTTACAACTTTCACAGCATCTTCACGGTCATGTGATCAAAATTCAGGTGCTTGGTAATTTCTATGTATTTGCAAAAGGGGGCGCAGTAGCTCAGTGGCTAAGATGTTAACTTGTTGATCAGAAAGATCAGCAGTTCAGCAGTTCGAATTCCTAGCACTGCATAATGGAGTCAGCTCCCGTTACTTGTCCCAGCTTCTGCCAACCTAACAGTTTGAAATCATGTAAAAATGCAAGTAGAAAATAGAAACCACCTTTGGTGGGAAGATAACAGTGTTCCGTGCCCCTTTGATGTTTAGTCATGCCGGCCACATGACCACAGAGATTTTTTGGGACAGCGCTGGCTCTTCGGCTTTGAAATGAAGATGAGCACCACCCCCTAGAGTCGGGAACAACTAGCACATATCTGCAAGAGGAACCTTTACCTTTTACCTTTATATATTTGCAACATTTGCAGGTTCCCAAGGTCATTTGATCACTATTTGCATTGCTTCCAGCTGGCATTCAAAGTTAATGGGGGAGCCGGTTTTAATGACCACATGATTTGCCCAGCTGTAGGGATTTGTTTAACAACCATGGCAAAATGTTGAAAAATTCATCACAACTCACTTAACAACCGTCTTGCTTAGCAACATAAATTCTGGTCCAAATTGTGGTCATAAATCAAGGACTTATGTATTTATTATTATTTATTTAAAAGTTTTGTAGGGCCACTCATCATAAGCAGAACTCTAGGTGGCTAGCAACAATAAAACCAATAACTATGAAACTGGAATTAAGCCTGGAAATAATGTGTTCAAATCAAACTCAAGTAAACCTTGCCTTGACTCTCTATGGTATAAGAAGGGAAAATAAGAAGAAAAAACCTCTGTCAGACTTTCAAGATTCTGTTGTCATTCTATACTTAGACAGCGTTCCAGCAGCTATTGTGGAGTTTCCTGAACTTATTTCAATGGGATGACACTATGTGCCCAAATTTAGATTTTTATCCATGGAAGTGTGTTTTCAGATTCAGACATTCTGGAAATGTGTGGGAGGTTCCTCACAGAATATGTTTTTGAATAGACTCAGAATTGAAAAAAATGAGTGCAATTCTGTTTCACAATATCATAAAAACTCACATGTAGATAAAAATAAGGAAATATTTAAATCCTAATGGACCGTATTTTCAACATAATGCAACCATTCAGAAATAATCTGTAGTTTTTCATTGCAACAGTAGTTGCTGAATTTATTACAAATAAGAACATCTGTTGTATATATGATGGTGTTTTCATTATTATTTCACACAGAAATATTATGGGTTATACCACTTGTTTGTTTATTGAAAAAGTGATCATCTATCTTTCTTTGAACAGGCCTGTAGGAGAGGTGTCCAGAATTATTCCTGACCATTTGATTTGCACTGCACCTGACAGGCAGCTAGATGTATATTTGTCTATAGCTAGACTATAGAAAAACAGACATTACTTCAAAATAAAAGCAATGAGATTAATTCAAATTCAGCATTTAATATGATACCTATTTATCAGTTATATATCTTAATTTGTTACTTTTTCCCAAAGCTATGTGCAGAACTGTTTCTCCATTTTGTCCCCTACAACCACCATGTGCAATAGATTGGGAGAAGAGCTCCCATAACAAATGATGGCTTTAAATCTTCACAATGTTTCATCAGTGTGCTAATATGCAGTCTATGTGGTTTTGTTGTCCCTTTTGTAGAAACACTTGGTTACATACACAGTACAATAGTTAAGTAACTAATTAATTGGGAAAGCAGATCCTTGCATGGAGAGTTGGGACACGAGCAATTGTGTAATCATCATGAGAGGACATCTCAGATAAGTAAGTATTTTGCTCGTCCCCTCTCCTCATTTTATTTTGTATTTCTAAAAAAAAATACTTCAGAGAATAATTTCTGTAAAATTATTTCAGTTTTTCTCATCTCACAAAAGTTAAAGAGTGACAAGGCACATGTAGAGATGTTTCTAAAGTGACCTCCTCCAACCTAAAGTCTTGATGGGGTCACACTTCAGGGAAATCATTGTATTTTAACACGCCACATAAAATATAATTTATAACTACCTTTTTGCCCCAAATCTAATTCCTGACAAAAAAAATTCTCTTCATGTTTGTCCACTTGTATATTTCCTTTTAATATAATTCTGTTTCACCTATGATATGTACTATATTGCTAATATTTGTTCCATCAAAAACCTTGGGGAAATTTCCTTGGTTGGCAATTGACATGAAGATTTTCTATTCTCCAGGCATAATTAAACCACCTTAATGTGAAAGTATTCTTTCAGTGTCAAGCTGCTGTATAAATTATTGCTGTTGTAATAAAACTGAAAGAATTGTTTTTATCCACTGGGATGTAAAATTTGAAATATACTGTATAAAAACATACTAATACAGAATTCAAAAGATATATAATAACATCTCAGGACAATGTTTCTAAATAGTCTCAGATAGCTGAAAATTACCCCAAGTAAGGTAATGTCTGACAGGAATACTTTAGATTCTCCCTCAATGGACTGTGTTTGCTTCTAGGAGAAGAAAATTGCCATGGGATGGGGGTGGGGTTATAATTCAGCTTTGCAATGCCTAAGGTTGTCCTTTGAACACCTATGAACTTCTGATATTTAATATAAGCTGAATTGTTTCCCATATCATGAAACAGTGTTTGAAAATGCTGCATCTAACATATTCTGCTCTAGGGCAAAAACATTTCATTCCAATTAGTTTCCTGCTTCTCTTCTTCTCTTTTACCATATTATTTCTGGCTATTCCTTCCAGCACATTTTGAAAGGAGCTTTACCATCATATTACCATGCCTTTTCTTATTTCTTCATTCTAATCAAATAATTTCACACCCGTGGCAAACCTTTAGCATAACATAACCAGAACCAGGAAATGAGAGGACAGGAAGTTAACAGCAAACATATTCCTGCTGGAAAAAAATGAAGAGGAAAGAGAGCGGGGGAAGTATCTCACCAATAACTAAAAGGACTTTCAGGTGTTATCAGTATCTGTTATAGTCCTCCTGAACTGAATTTTATTCCAACTCCCCATAACTGCTCTAATTGCAATGATACTGTTTTCTATGTATCAGGTAGTATCATGGATTTCAGTTCTTCAAGTGTTACTTACTAGAATGATTTACTACCAGAGATGGGTTTCTGCCAGCTTGCCCCGGATTGGGCAAACCGGTAGTGGCAGTGGTGACAGGTTCTGCCACCCACCTGGATACTTCTGCACATGCACACATGATCACACCAGTGACGTGCAGTCAGGGGAGGCAGGGGAGGCAGGGCCTCACCACTGTCATGNAAAAAAAAGATTTTTTAATATCAGTCTACCTTATATTGAAAAATCTTGAGTTTATTCCTAGGTTTTTTGTTTGAGTATATAATCTCTGTTATTTGTTTTTTCCACTTATTTAATACCTTATCTTCAATTTTCACTGGAATAATTTGGAATAGAAAACTAATCCTTGGTAAAACATTCATTTTTATTGCTAATGTTCTACCTTATCAGAATAAGTTCACTTTTTTCAATCTTACAATATCTTGCATTAAGTCTCCAAGTTACCTTTTAAGTCAGTCTTTATTGTTTTCCATTAAGTACAGTTTTAGGTATTTAACTGGTTTAATAGTGATATTAAATTCTGTTATTTGGTGCAGATATTGCTTTTTTTCTTCAGTAAAATTCTGTTTTGCTTTTTTCCCCCATGTTTGCCTCAATAGTGTTCAAATATATATTTGATATTATCTCTCATATCATTACATTATCTGTCATTTGTATCTGGGACAAATCCTTTAGTCAGGATGTATTAGATTAGTTAAAAAGACAAAATAGCAATTATTTCCATAAATAGCCTTTTGAAACTAGTTCAAAGTAATGTTCTGTTCTGTTTAAATTCAAGTTAATATTCTTAATTATAAATTTCCTAGCTTTTCATTAAGTCTGAAATCACATGCTACTTCTTTGGGGGGGGAAAATTAAAATATTATGCAAGAGCAATT